TGGAAAATTTAAGGAGTTATTATTATGTACGTTTAGATGATACAACCGGTAGGATACTTTTGCACGTTACTGTAATAGGTTGCTAGGCTCGCGAGATTATAATTAATTTATTACAGCGAGCACAATTTTACCATAACCGACTTGATTCCGAAAAAAATACATTCATTATTAAGATATCATTATATGAAAGTGAGTGTATGTATATATTACTACCTACTACTAAGTATTATTACTCATTTCCATAGCCATATCGAAACTACTATTCAAATCATCTTGTACTCGCGATATTCGTGGTTTATTATTTGTATTTTTGCTTTTGCCAGCTGATGATTCTTTGGCTTTTTCACCTTGTATTATAAACCTTGGACCTTCAATATCACCGAGTTCCCTCGGTCTCACTGGCGCAACAGTCGCTTGACCATTTTTTTTGGCAATTGGTTCATCCGTTGCTTTTGAATCGGGCGGTTCGAGTTCAATAGAAGTATCAATCCTTTCCACAGTTACACGTCTAGTGACTGCATCAATTGTCATTACCGCACGTTGACGATATGCGGGTGTTTCGAGTTTTTTCAAGTTTGCTTCCTGTTTCTTGGCCAATTCATCACGTTCTTTTAGCGTAAGCCATTGATTAATCCCATCACCAGGGAGCACAAAGTCTGATCTCTCATCTGCGAAAGACAAAATCAAATCAGTATATGAATCCTGCTGATAATAAACCGCATTCCAACAAGGAATTCATTTCACCAAATCAACCCATACCAATAATCTTAGTTCTCCGTGAGTCCTGTCTATCGAATTCTAAAAGTTTATCCTTGTGTCTTTCAGCAGCCAGCCTTCTTTCTTCCTGAATCTGTTGTAACCTCTTCTCCTCCTCTTTGTCTGTCCCTAGATCTACCCATTGATCGTTCCTCTGCAACATGTTTCCAGAGACCATCGCTGCATAGCGTACTGTTCCGCCAGTGCTCGTTTTGTTTTTCCTGGGTTGTTGGTTTTTTGCTTGTTTCTGTTTCTTTGATTGTCTCGTGAGTTCTAGTTGCTGTTCGCGCGATAATACAGGTACTCCACAATATGTGCAGGGACCGATTCCCTCAAATTCGCAAATAATTTTACCACAGTTTAAGCAGTTAGGTGCAATTGTCAGGAGAGGATGTCTGATGGCTTCATATTAGATGATAGTAGTAGGATGTCAAATAATGAATGGATGGATGTTTAATATTGATCTATCATGAAGCATACCTTGACAATCGCACGCAACTCTTTCGGTTTGTTTAGAGTTATCAGATTCTCCCAGCTTTGTCCCTTTTTTATTCTTCTTGGCCATTGTACTCAACTACGGAATCAATCTACTACCGTCCTTTATATAAAGTATGTGCTGCGCCACCGTGAATTCAACCACGTGTGTGATTAGATCAACGACAGAAATAAAAAAAAAGTTTGCTCACCAAGAAATAGCTGATCAATGATGGCCGAGGTACCATATTTTGGTGCGAAGGAAGTTGACGGACATCACTTGTCTGAATTTCCGATTGTATTCTCTGCGAATTCAAAGTATATATTTCTGTGTTTCCAGTGCTAATTATTATCCAAGTGGTTGCGTGGATCTTGTATCAACATGTCGCATCGTTTTATATCGCGATTTATATAATATTATGGGTGCATCTATAATGATAACGATTTACACTAGTTATTCTGACCCTGCTTTTCTCGTGACTATTAGGTATTTCTATAACAGCGCAAGATCATCGATAAGAATATACAGTGTCGAAACTGGCGATGTTGTAAGGCATTTATCAATATCGCCAAGTGAAGCTGGTCATACTGGCAAAATCACGTGTCTTGAAAAAAACCCAAAGAATCAAGAGGAACTAATCTCTGGCTCATTGGATGGCAAAATAAAATTCTGGAATACAAGGAAATCGGGGACATTGATTGCGGTGCGAATATTATCGTGCTATGTCAGTCTGATTATTGTCTCAACACAATTGACTAAATTTCATGGATCAGTAGACTTATGACGTTGGCCAGCCAATTATTCGAATGGCTATAAGCGATAGTGGACCTAATAACAGTATAAGAATATTTCTTGCTACTGAAGTTATAAGTGCCGGTATGTAAGTAAATGATACACGACGGGCTTGCATCAGTTTATTCAAAAGATTAAGTTATACACTCTTCGCTCTCTATTGTGTAGCTCGTGTCATGTACCGATCAGAGATAATACTTTTGACTGTATGGAGACCAAATAAGTCACATATAGTTACTCTGACTCGGTCAAAGTATCCATGCTCTGGATTGGGTGTATATGCTGACGGCAGTTGCGCTGTTGCATCATACAGGAGGAATTATGATGTAATTGTATTTCCCAATGGATCAGATGTAATAGTAGACAGGTTGGGTATAATGATATCTAACTATTCTGATAGTTGACTACAATTACTAAACAGATATGTATTTAGATGCACGCATCCGAAAGCTGTAACCGCATTGGCTGTTCATCCGAAATTACCAATTGTTGCATTAGGCGACGAGACCGGAGCCATTACTATAATGTATGTAATGTAATAACGAGATCATATACCCGAATTTTGGGTAGTTGCTATTTTTTTTTTGTTTAATCGACTGATTATTAACTTGCCAGTTAATTTAGACGACAGCTCGGAGACAGATCGGTGGGGAACCCACCCTCAACTAAGTATCATTGGCATGCACACCGGGTGATGTATCTTGCCTACTCACTCAAAGGTAACCACACTAAATTATTTAATTTAACGTATATGTCTGGATACAGATGTTTAAAACTGCCATTGTGCTATCATAGGCACATATTTATTATCAGGCGGTGAGGAGGGTGTGTTAGTCGAATGGCATATTGATTCCGGCCAGAGAAGATTTGTTCCTCGTCTTGGTGCGGAGATAAAGGCTATTTCTGTGAGCCCAGATGATACTATTTATGCCGTATCATTAGCGAACAATACAGTGAAACTTGTGGCATCGATGAATCTAGACTTGAAACAGGCCATTCAAGGATTGCATGGTATGGAGACATGTTGGTAATAGACAGATGTTATGTACTAAATAATATGTACTTGACATATCTGACAAGTCATTATGGATAGTACAGGGAAAAAGACGATTAGAAGATGTCACAGCAGGATTAACTATCGAGCCTCGCACTTTTAATCTGGTCATAAATGGTCAACCAGGCTCTCTTCAATTTTATGATGTACACTCTGAAAAACATGTGTTCGATCTTGACGTTTCTCAACAGAGTCTCGTGTCAAGAACAAACAATGAAGAGATTACGCGATTTCAAGTGGTTTATGTGGCATTCTCCGCCGATGAACGATGGATGGCTACAGTGAGTAAATTCTTTCGCATGCTGTAAATAGCGGGTTACTACTGTCTATCGTATTATTTAATTTGTTTAATTAATAAAGGTAGACACACGAGATGATAAAGAACACGAAATGGAATCTTTTCTAAAGTTTTGGCGATATGACGACAATGAGTTGACATACATCCTACACTCACGATTGTCGATTCGACGCAAAGAGACAATAATATCATTAGTTTTTGATAATGCAAAAAACGAGGGATCACCTAAAATTGTTACGACTAATGTTGATAAGAGATTTACAATATGGCAACTAAAAGAACAGTCTAATACTAAGGATGCTGATGGGGAAGGTAAACAGAATGTAATAACGTAATTTGTCTATCATATATAAACTAACTACATTCTCGAATTCTTGCGTCTTAGTGGTTTGGGTAGAAGTGTTTAACGGGCTGTATAAAGATTATAATCCCCATGCGGCAGCATTTTCTGAAGATGACAGTATTTTGGCGGTCACATTTGATTCAAAGGTTACACTATGGAATACTTCAACGTATCAGTTATTTGATGTACTTGATTGCCTGCCTACATCTGACAAATTGACGCATGTGACGTTTATCAATGGCTCGGGCGCATATCTGGTTGCTGCATCACCTGATCGCATCAGCGTATGGAATTTAATTACTAATAGCGGTATTATATATTGATATGGAATTGCTCGATCATTTATGGGGTTGTTGACATTCGCTAATGAGAATATATCTGTAATGTAGTCTGGTGGTCCGCTAGTTTTCCTGTACATCATCTTGTAGCAGATGCGGATGGTTCAACGTTTGCAGTAGCAGGCAACGCCGAGAGACGAGGAATCAAGAGTAAGTATAATTATTGAATGGATAGTCAATGCGGACAGACTTACCTCACATCTAATTGATACTATTTATGATATTAGAATGCTATGTGTGCATATTTAATCCACGTTCTGCTGTCCCGGTGGCGTTAAGAGAGGTGGATGGAAATATTCATGCAATGGTTTATTTGCCGTCAAGAGCAACGAAGAATACGTCAAAGGACGAAGTTGCAGATATCACTTCGAATAGTTCTTCGAATATCATATATGTCAATAATTATTGTGATCTACACATGCTCCCGACAATAGATGATGACTCTAACACAATACAATTAAAAGAAACGATCAGACAATAAAAAGAACAAATGAAACAAATGAGGTAAATGAGACATATGAAAGTGAAATAAAACTTTCATATATATTTATATATGGTCAGTAGTTGCAGGTTAACCGTCGCCAGCGGAACGTGATTATTCAGATTCCTGCTGAATGCCCCTTAGCGAAAAACTGTACATTATTATCCACCGTCTTATAATGCCAAGATGCTGTTCTGTAGGATGTGTCGTTATTTCGGGGACCCCTTGCTATGGTAATCTACAAATTCCATTTAACGATAAGAACCAATTGGTCGATATTTAATTAACTGATCAACACGTATATTAAACTTACATCTCCCGACACATCCCTAGAGTATCCAGACGACAATCCTCTAGTTGATAGGATATATTCGGACTGGTACATTAATGACTTTACAAATAATTCATAATTAATATCATTCATCAATATATCATCCCCATGTACAAGAAGAGTCAGGCTGCCACCATTCTAATAAAAAATTGTTGTGGTTATTTGAAAATAATTGCATACAAGCATCTAATTACTATTACTTAAGCTAATATGCAAACCTTCTCGATTAATAACCGACAGTTCTTGACAAATCTCAGCACTGCCTCAACCTGTATTCCCGCAAATAGCAGCGTAGATAGATCATCGATCACCAATGACACAGCAGACTCAACAGGATGCTCAGCCACGACTTTTTTTACCATCACATAGAACTTTCTCAAATTGTCTTCGAATGGCGATGACGATTGTGAAATAGAACTTGCAGATTGGCTCGTGTCATTCGGGCAGTAGAAAGACGTCAACCCATCAATAAATGAAAATAGACTTTTCGATTTCTCCTGAGAGAGATCAATACCCTAAATAACAGTTGATCTGGTGACTATCTCTGCAAAAACTGGTCAAGATAACAACTGTAAGCCAACCAACCAACTTCTTCCCGATAGCCTGATAATGACTAAGCAATTGATTGAACCCAACAAGCACTACATGTCGATTTGCCTTTAAGTGATTTGCTATGAAATGATGGATAAGAAAGTTTCCATCTGAGGAGAGAGTGTCGGTTATGAGGATTAAACTTCCACTTGGTGGAACATTAGACCTTTCAAAAGAAAGGACCGAGTCAAGAGTTCCGTAACCCATCCGACCTATTCACCAATATTTGTTTGTATATTTAATACAACATGCAAACTTTTAATGTTGGGTGGCTTCCACCAATTGTCAAAACCGATAGTGATGCGGGTAACTCGATTTCACACAGATCTTGCTGATTGCGACAGATTCCTATGACTTTACGTATCAGGGCTTTCGTATGCAACCGGCGATAAGGCAAGAAATTCCCGGTGGAACAATCGAAACCAGAGGATATAAAAACCTGTGAATAACCAAAGGACGATATCTTTGAAATTTCAGGAGAGACAATTATGCCCACAACTAATAATATGCCTACAAGTACCAATATGCCTACTAACGACGACGACATGCTTAATGACGTCCTTATAGACGAGCCAGTCCTCTATATAAGCAAGGTACCATATAGTATGACCGAGTCTGAAGTTATGGATATTCTTAAGGGAGTCAACCCTACTAGGTATGTTAGGTTCAAACTATAAGAGACATGGAAAATCGAATTTTATTCGCAATGAATTATAGATGTGCATTTAATAAGGATCGTAATATATCAAAAATTTTACCCGCGCCGCAATCAAGTAGAAGTAATTATATTTCTACTTGTGTTTATTTGCGCAGACTGACAAACGATGCGTTTTCATTCACCTTAAAACAGTGTCCAGGTTATTGCCAGCGGAGCCATAGCACCTGCTAGTGGGGTCGTCTATTTCTCAAATAAAGGCGATGGTATGTAATCTTATTATGGGTCTTATTTTTGCCGGCTTATCGTCTTGTACTTATTTCTTTCGTTCATACCCTTGCACCAAACGACATTAGCTGAAAAGGCATTTGCCTTCTACAACAATGCTTCCCTTGAAGCATATAAGAGTCACCTCAAACTTCATATTAAAGATCCTAATAGCGGTGGACAAGATCTTCAACCTGCTACACCAAGTTTACACGTCAAGTTTCCTCGCACCACAGACTTGATGACATTGTATCAAACATTCAGGTCCTTCGGCCCTTTATATTCATGTAAAATTTACCTTGATAAGACTGGTAATCCCAAAGGCCAAGGTCTCATCCAGTTCTTCAAGGAAGCATCTGTACAAGAGGCACTCAAATCCGCGGTAATTCACTTTCCTTAGATAGATCGCTATTCCTGTTACTAGTCTACAATCATTACTAATTTATCGATTTTACTATATAGATAGAGATTCTCGGAAGGTCAATGTAAGTTAAAAATATCCTAGATCCCATTACTAATCGAGTTTATACTAATTGTAATCGCCTTCCCTATTACAGTCAAGTTTCAGCTAATCCCCGCCTGAATCTGCCCAACTCACGCTCAAACTCTTTCAATCATACCAATAATCCCAATTACAACACCAATAACAACAATAACGACAACGGCAGCGATAACAGTAACAGTAATCGTTCTAATGTAAGTCGCTCATACGTGCAAACATTTCAAGTAATATTGGTCCCAACTCAATGAATTTTACAAACAGGCGGTGGTACCTTCCAATAATTATCAAAACAATATCGCCCATCAACCGCAATCACCTGGTCCAGAAGGTCCACTTGTTGATCCTTGCAATCTTTTCATTAAGAATCTTGATGCAAACATCTCAAGTAGTGACCTCTTTAACCATTTCCGTAAATTCGGCCGCATCATTAGTGCTCGCGTGATGCGTGACCAAGAAACTGGCAACTCAAAAGGCTTCGGTTTTGTGAGTTATACTAATCCAGAGGAGGCCGATCGTGCGAAGACGGTGATGAACAACAAAACTCTGGGTTCCAAGCAGATTGTTGTCAGACTTCATGAGCCAAAAAAACTGCGAGAGACAAAGTCGGCTTCAACTTCGAATAATGGGCAAACATCGCCCACCGAATCTCGCGCGCCATCAAGGAGAAATTCTGATATTTATCCGGCAAACGCTTTCAATGATTATGATCAAGAAACGTTGGCTGGCTTGGCGCCTAAGGCAAGAAGAGAAGTGCTGATGTCTGAATTGCAAAAGAGATTTAGGAATATTCCAAGCGTACCCCAGGATGAAGTCAACCCAATTATTGAGTTTTTACTGGCCAATAAATTGCAAGAAATCTTAAATTTTCTCAAGGATCCACAGGCGCTACAACAAAAGGTAAATATAAATAAAGTAGCACACGAACATCGCGATTACACGCATATAGACACGCAGAAAAATAGCAACCATTCTACCCTAGAGTGATATACGTGTATTTTGCTTGTATTAACACTTGTACTTTACACATATACCTGACTTTTATTAGATCACCGAAGCACGTCAATTACTTCATAAAGACAAGTCTCGCCGTAACTTGGATGAAAGCACACCCTCATACACCACTCCTCGCTCAACAACTCTCAATACTACCTCTCTTGCCCAATCGATGTTACCTGAGCGAGAGAAATTCCTCCGTGCTATCGGAAAATTCAACAAGCGTCACAGTGAAGAAATTCTTGACTTGATTATGAGCTTGCCCAAAAAAGACCGTTCTATGTGCTATTTCAACGCGGAATATTTGGATAAGAAGATTGTAGAAGCAATTGCAGCCGTGGAGTTTACACATGAAGATCCATCTATTCCCGTTCCCCCTCCAACATTCACGCCCAGAGATTTTACACCAACTACTACACCTCCGGTTAAATCTCCCGAGCCTATTAGTCTCAAACTTCTGGCGACTCCTCCGAAGATGACGGAGAATCATTATAACCCGAATGACCCTCTGTACGAGGAAACCGAACAATTCTTGAGGATGTTGGAACAAAAGCCAGTTGTAGAACAGAAACAGAAACTAGGTGATAAGCTGTTCCCGAAAGTTAAGGTAAGATAATATAGTATGCGAGTGAGTACTTAATTTTCATCATTCGACTAATGAGTTGATCGTTCTGCCCTTGCGTTACAGAACCTTGGTCTAAGGAGTGCGCAGGCTAGTAAAGTTACCATCAATCTTTTGGATACGGATGATCTTCGAGCACTTGCTCACTCGATGAATGATCCGGTCAAATTCAAAGCTAAGGTTGACGCTGCTATTGTTAAAGTCACCTTAAATAAGTAAACCTTTTCAGATCGGTCATAAATAATAAGTATACTGCGAGTATATCGCACACGCTATTCTATTTAACTAGAGAAAACCTGAATTATATTCCCATTTTTTGGATATAAATTAGCTAACATAAAATCCATTTGATTAGTAAAATGATTTAGCGCTGTGTCCTTATTTCCAATGTTTTCTAGTATTGTCCTGTGACTATAACGTTATCGTCAAAACTTTGCAAGCGTTTCAATATCTCGGCATTTTATCTTGGCCAATAATATATTCCATCTCCTCTTTGATACTTGGCGACTGAATGGTAGGACCCAACAGACGTAAAACAGCTCTCAATTGGAACAGGAGAATATGGAATAATTACATTGTTTGACAAAACAAGAATCTATCACAATACTCTTGCGATGCTAATACTAATACTACATTATGATTTATCAACCTACGATAACAATATTGGCAATAGTCTGTGTGCCATAAAGTATCAACTTATATTGCTAACAACAATTTGCCACATGTTTGTTTATTAACCTTCTCCCTTCGGAAACAATTATGATAATACAGACTCCGTCCTATATTTCGCACTTCTTACTGCGTACAGTCCCCCGGCGAAAATAATGGCTGTGACAATCGTTTTTACAAAAATCGGTTATCTGTTATTATAGTAATATGTAAATGTATTACTATTACTTTCGTCAGGCATGATTAAAAATACCCTTGTCTTTATATTTGCATTTTAATAATTTCAGTGAAATTTGGATTGACTATAACTAATCGAAAAATATAATTTTTGCCTGATATAGTCTAATCTGTTAATGTAAAAAAGCTTTTACATTCGCTTCTTGTCAACTTACTCAAAAATTTAATAAATTAAATGCTCTCAGAGCGATTAAATCTTTCTTTGTTTAAGAGCCAAAGACAACGCTAGATTGTATTATAACATGAACATGACGTCACAAAACCGCTGAACTACACCCATTTTTCTATGATCAGTATGGTTACTACTGTATTACACTCTCAAACGGGATTTTTCCCCGTCGCTGCAACTAAAACAAGGCGTCGCGGAAAATTCTCCTATAGGTTAAGTTCGTGTAATACGACTATTTCTTTAGCTAATTAGCAAACGCATTCCTGGGTCAATAAATGAGCTCATGCCAAATATGGAAAACCCTGAAGTTAGTAATATCACGTATTTGATCGTGTGAAACACACAAAGAAGACTGTTATTACTGCGCAATGGAATTTTATTACAATCTGTATAAGCTTAAATGATACAAAGCGGAGAAGGTGTAAAGCGGTCATTGATCTAGATATTATATTTGAGTTGTGCATTCCTTTCGTGTTAATAAATTGGTGATATATATATAATTATTTATACTATGAATACAATACAATCAACAGCATAATAAAGTCTAATAATGTTCACATTTTCACAATACATGTCCAACTTATCCCCAGTCACGATTTGCTCATAATCACCCACCGTCATAGAATCACTATGTATTCAAAGCAAAACTGCTATAGCTATCTTCTCCTCCACCTCTCCCATAAACCGACAAGTAATACACAGCACGGGCATAAATATCAACATTAACGGAAACGCCAGGCTAAACAACGTGATTGTGGTGGTGAACGTTAGAAGGGTAATCCAAAACTTGATGCACGTGAAATATAAGAAAGACATCCAGGTAAACTTGTCAAAGCAGATTTTAACAGCATAACGCATAGCCCCATAAGTTGGTGGAGGGCTTTGCGGTGAGCCAGGATGGAATACGCGAGGTGGAAGTTCGTGAGTAGTAGAGAAAAGGCGTGTTGAGGAGCAACCAAAGAGACGAGCTGGGTGCGTACACATTTTAATCGTTATCAGTTCTATGCGACCTAGAGCTCTATATGACGTAAATTAAGAGGACATTTTCGTCAATGTTTGTATTTGTAAGTCGTTTCTACAACATCATCGAATTGCAATCTTACCTCCATGACCACGCTGTTCCAATACAAAAGAAGTATCCAAGAGGTGGAAACAACAGAGATGTTATAGCTCCAACAAGCGTCGTCAACATCCATACAAAGGCGAATAGTGAAACCACAGGAGAGACGAACAAATAATAAGCAACGCTGGTCCATGCTTTTGGATCGAATACTGATGTCCAGAAACGAGAACAGCAGCCTTTTTTGTGTGTAAGAGGATGAGAGACATTAGCGGCATAAGATGTACTGATTTGAGGAGGGTTTGCAGTTGAACGACCAGTTTCAAGCTTTGACGGATTTAGTTCATTGCCAGCCGGAGAAACAACGGTTGCTGTATGAGCAGTTGCAATAGGCGTGTATGGGGGCGGAGTATCCTCTTCATGTGAGGAAGTCTCCGTTGGATGGTATGCCTTTGCGAGAACTTTTTCGGCAGATGATTCTGTCATTATTGAGAATTTTAATTAAACAAAGTCTGTCTCGAGATAGTGAGAATATTGGTCGTTATGTCTTATTAGGATCAAACAGGCTGATGACTATTACTATTTGTTAACAATATTAAATATCGTTAGCAGATTCGAGCAAGGGGTCTTTTCGTCTGTTTATAACTCAAGATGTGCCAAGATTTGATCGAATCGCGGCCCGAAGTCCCGGTTGCTTGGCAAGAAATGATAATGAAACGAGCACGCCACAAGTTTATTTTTATGGAGTTCGACATCTTTATCCCTATCTTTAAAGGGTCTATCGTGTAACCTATAAGTTGTTACTCGATCGTTACACGTCTTTCTATTAATAAAAACCTTCTACTTCGAAAAGTTTGAGCGATACAGAAAGATAAGAATGGGATAACAAATAAGTTAGCGTGGGAATATTGAACACAGCACAGTCGATGAGTGATAAAGAGAAGACACAATGCGTAGGCAATGGGGCATGTTGATACTTAAAGAGAGGCTTTGTTTAACAACCGTATATTAATATTTAATGATTGTCCCCAAATTTAACATACAGTATATTTTCGTTTTCGCTTTAATCTTAAAAGGTCATGTGCTAATACTAATGTAGAAACTTCAATTCATAACAAATGAACATGTTAGTATGTTAACCATTTTTAGGACACCTACAAAACCGTTAGTGACTAGTATGAAGGGTCGGCATTTTATTGGTTTACGTGAAATCGATTACCGTGAATCTTGTTCATCAATCTTCAGGAACTCATCGACAGACTTACCTAGACAAGTTAAGATCCGTAACAGTTTCGTCTCAGTTATCTTACAATAAAGACACGTTAAATTCAAATATCCAATTACCTCGTAAACACCCAATATACTATTATATGGATATCAAGGCATGCATTTAGTGGGTACATATTAATATGGAGGTGGAAATATTAAAATCCATTTATTCCCGTTCTATTTTTTGTCAATAAATTCTTGCGACTATACTTACTATACTCAAGTCAAAGTTTATGATGCAGTATTTTGAAACAATCCCAACAGGGCCCAGATAGAGGAGAGATGCGTTCAATTTTAGTATACATACAAGATATCGACAAATTACCGCATTTACTATTCTTGGGTGCATTTAGATTTCGTTTCCCTCAACCTATCATCAGAGTTTGCCAGATATACGAATTCGATCTAAAGACCACATATTGCAGACATGTTGACAAAAATAACATTTGTCTTCTTTGATAGCTCTATTACAACAATAGTTCTCTATTACGAAAACGACGATCTGTGTTGGTCATGTGACACAAACACAAAGTTATAATAGCACCGAAGAAGCGTCATAGTCAAAGGTATTAGTATGTTTTATGACAGTTTCGCAAGTGCACCGGTTGGCGCAGCAATACGTAACCAATCGTAGCGCATGTTAACTTTCTATCCATGTTCAAGAATATTATACAAGGAACGCAAGCATTGGGAAAGCACGCGTTGTTGCTTGGTTTACTTGTTATCACTACGCACAGTGTTAGATTCACGTTTCTCGCATAAGGAAGCTTTAATCAGCCCAAGTGGTCCAAGTAGATCGACGATCTAAATATTGACATGCCTCCTACACCGTTGAAGAAGCAAAAACCCGATCGTCAAGATCGCCGCTCCGAGCCACCAGAAAGCGAAGAAGAGTGGGCGCTTTGGAAAAAGATTCAAACCCTTCAAGAGACTCTTGAGAAGCACGAAGAGACAGGGTTCGATTTGGCCGATAAGGTCAATAAGCTGGTCGCGAAGGCAAACGAAAGTTGGTGTTTGGTTATGTCCGTGCAATAAACGAGCAGTTCTTTGATTTGAATACAATTAATTATTTTTTAAAGTCGAATCAGCGAATGATGAAGAGGAACGACAGAATTTGCATACTCAATTGAGAGAATTGTGTAATCAGGGGGTTGAATCATCAAGGAAGGAATCAAGGTAAAAAAAAAAAAAAAGATATTCAAAAAGTGCTGATCCAGATTCTATTTTATTCTTTTCAATACTAATGGTGGAACATACATTATCATATAGTACAGCAACGCAACTCGCCGAGGAGATAGACCAGTTGATGACACTTTTGCGCTCCAAAGAGAGCCGCAAATCTCTCAAGGGTACATTTTCGAATGTCAAGAACGTCGATGAGATTGATTACTAGTATTTATTGTGAAATGTTCTTCATAGATTCGCGGCCGTCCGCATCAACTTCGCTTTCTTTCAATGCGTCGCTCGTGTCATCTTCCATATCAACGACATTAGACGATGGGAGTCGCTCGCCAAATAAGAAAAGAAAGCTTAAGGAGGATAACGTAAAACAAAAGAAATTGAAAACGTATGCATCATGATTGTGTACTTGTTTACGTGTTATAATCTTAATAAATTTGTCAAAAATTTCTTTTTTAAACCTTCTAGACCGAGAAAAACTAATACGATCTTACCTGCGCAAATGGTAAGAGTCAAAAGATCTATAAAATTCTGATAGACGTTATACTAATAAACGGCGCATTGTTAGGTGGCTGCAAAGCAACCAAAAGCTAAAGACCCGGAAGAGAACTGGATACTGGCTACTGTTATAGCTTATAATGAAGACTCAAACACGTAAGTTGAGGACAGTGGTGGTAAAAACGTTATGGTATATATCCACCAATAATTAATACGAAAACTCTGGTTGCTGTGAATTTCTGACTCTTAAAACAGATACGATGTTGAAGATGCAGACGAAGAATCTGCCGGCAAAGCACCAAACGAGTATGCCATACTTCTTTAATATTAACTGTATTGCTATGCTTGATACAAATATTAACCCGAAGCTTTCTAATTACCTTATGATCTCTTGGATCTAACAGAAGATTCAGAGTTCCGGCAAAATATGTAATACCCTTATCAAAGTCCGGGCAACAGTTTCCGCATTTCGCTGCTCATCACACGGTATTGGCACTTTACCCTTTGACGACATGCTTCTACAAAGCGGAAGTAGTGTCGCCGCCAAGCAAAACAGGGCCACAAAAGAGTCAATACGTCGTTGCATTCGAGGATGATGACGGAATGCATCGAAGCGTTGAAGCTGTAAATGTTTTAGATTACCCCAAGGTGAGTGCTGAAAAGATAGTATTGAGAAAGTTGACGGCGGCAATAGAGTGTGATTAATGTTAATATTATTAATGCTATCCTATCATCTTGATTCGTTTTCAGGGGTCGTCTTCTACATGACAGTAGTGGATAGCAATATTGGAGTAATAAAAATCTGGTAACGTAGTTAGAGATGTGTATTGTTAATCGTCCGTAAACCATTTTGACTGACGGTGTTGGCAATTTTAGTTTGTGACTTCATCTAATTGTAATCGAGATAATGTCCGATATGTTATAATATATTTATACTGTATTTTATTCTCAAGCACAATATCAGCGCAAGAGAGTAGTAGCGATCTGAGGGTGTTTGTCGAGATGTAAGATTATATGAGCGAAAAGTAGTCTTATACATAATAAGTAGTGGCAAGCGTGACTATCGACCATCTCATTAATAAATACTATTTGCACAGAAGCACTACTGTTACAACTCATTTGCCTTCCACCTGGTTGCGATTGTCGCTAACTTATCAACTCTACGACTTGTTTATTCATCTACCTAGCCCATCTGAATCTCTCCTATAACCAGCTTTGGTATCTACACAGCTAACGTTAGTTAGAACTATCAAACAATCACATAACTTGTCTGTTTGATCTTCATCAATGGGTGGCGGGATTCGGGGAACAGGGATAAGGAGAACCTGACGGTGAGGGTGAAAGCTCAATATATATTTAAGTATAAAACAAATTACTTTTGCATTTAGTCGACTGTTTTAAATAAAGTGCTTTCTTCAAAAACCATTAACACTTGGTGTGAATTTTATTCTACACATTCTCAAATTGCAAAGTTGTGCACCAATTCCTTTTTCAACTTTCTTTACATATAAGTTTTATGGATACGCATTTTATTCTACTTATTCACTGTGTAAAGAATACGCGCACGGTATTTTCATATATTTTGTCTGCAAGATATTGGGCATCTACTCCGCGGATTGACGCAAGAGCGTGTAGTACTTGACTGCAAAAATAGATATAATCATGTGGTCGGTTAGTCTGGGCTTGATAATGTGCTTTCTAACAAGGATACTCACCCAACACAGCAAGGTTCGTTTCGTCCTTTTACCATCAGTCCCTCCTCGAATCTCTCTTTCTTTCTTGATGGCGGAGCGTAGAGATCGAGTACAGTTTTTGGAATAGATTTTAAATGAGAATATGATGCGTGAGTTGGGCGCATGTCGCACCATGGCGCATCTAAACAACAGAAGCGTTAATAGTAAACAAACAAGGTAAAGAATATCAATCACCGTTACACTCTCTCGATTACCTGTCTCTATCATTAACCTGTCTTCGGGTATTCTCTTGACTACATCGAGATTGTCTTGGGTCTTGAGTGAACTAGGAGATTTATAAAAGATCACCGTTGCTATCTCTCGTTATCTCTCAATTTCCTACCAAGAATTTGGTACTAACCATCCATTGATGCCAATATACAATCCCATTGCAACTGCACGTTCCATTACATCGATGCTATCGGTGAAAGAATGCAACACCCCTGTTGTAAATTTGTGCCTATTTTTTTGCAACATATGTGTATTATTATAATTAAAGATTTTAACAGTCACAATGATAACAGCTGAATATATGGAAGAGGTTTGAAAAGATATCTATAAAGTCATCGCCTAATTGCATCAAAAGTGAGTTATTTGATCACGAGAAGTAAGTTTAAACAATCATCCTTCATAAGCTTGTCTTGACAATTACCCGTGTTACGGCAATGAAGAAACATTGGAAGACCAGTCTGCTCGGCGAGATCAAATTGCTTCTCAAAATATCTGTGTAAAAACGTTATTAGATTAGCCCACACATAAATACATCATGTACAAACAAGCAATTAAGCGCTTACCTTAGTTGGACGTCCTTTGGGCAAAAGTGCAATCTATCATAATCTACGCGTGTCAAGAGTATCGGCTATCAACAACCGTAAATCAAACGAGTTCTCTCATACTGGTATACTTACCGAGTCCACATTCACCGATGGCCACAACCTTTTCCTTGGCGTCCGCGGCTATGTCTAGTAAATTCTGATAATAGTGTTCGGGACCATCTTTATCTGCTTCAAATTCTTGACATCTGGTTGGATGACAGCCAACGGTTGAAAAGAGATTATCTAAAGGCAGTCGAACATTTTGCGATCAATACAATTACGTTGTCGTAGTGTGCTTCCACAGGCTTACAATATTCAAAAGGCAACAAGTTACCAAATCCTTGGACTATATCTAAAGCGTCTCTACTTTCGCTCGCTGATCCACCGGTAACAATAATTTTCTCAACCTCTGCGTTGACGGCTCTCGTCAACATGTGTGAGAAATCGTCTGCGTCGCTGATGTCAGTAGCTGTCATGTGAAATTGCTATCAAACCTACAGAGGACACTGACCAACATGTACTTGTCTACCCCGATATTTGCCACGGAACACCGGATCTGTCAAGTTCGCTCCAATATCTAATAGTTGTCAAACCTATTGAGTATAGACATATGGTAAATTTATACCACTAAAATTTCAAGAATTACCAATAAATCGCACCATTCTATCGAAATACCATAGGATGGGCTTTCTTTACAAAATGTACAAAAAAACGCGACAGTTGTGTAACTATTGTCAGTAGACTTTCTACACGTGAGCAAATATAAGACGATTCTGTTAGCGTCCAGATACTCCAGCAATCCACGTTTATCTCTTCCTCAATTACGGAGGCATATTAATTGTATTGCTCGTATCTATTATGAAAAATTGACTTAATGTTTATATAATATGCTCGCTAATTACGTAGGGCTAGGAATCGAGTACCAATCACAAGAGTATCCGCGTATAAAGTTCGATATTTTAACCGTTTTAATATTGCACTGATTCTTTAAATTTTTATTAATAGCGATACTAATATGTAAAATTACAAAAAAGCAGATACTTGGTTTAAACAACAAAAGTCTACAAAGGTGAAATACCTATTATAATATGAGCGAACTCCACATCTGGAGCCGACACTAGTTACTGTATTGGAATGCTTTATTCAAGTGAATAACAATTCCGAATACTTTGGCAATGGCCAAATCTTATCGTCTACCAATTCTTCCATGAAATCGGCTGAAACTCGAACATCCTCCATTACCGGCAGCAGTTCTTCTTGTACAGCACGAGCTGCATCCTTTGCATCACGTATCGCCGACACTTTTGCGATATTATCTGCAAGAAGTGCTATTTGCGCTTGTAGATTACGAACGGCTGGAGCAGTCTGCTCAAGAACATTTTCTTCAGGTGCTGCGGCGCCAATATCATTTAACGCTTTTATACCCTCCGCAAGCGATTTACGGAACTCGTATGCCGCAGGAAGAACTTTTGTCATTATTATCGACCGAAGCGTACTTGCTTCAATCAGTATATCCTTTGTATATTTCTCAAGTAGAATATGGTATCTCGAATGTAATTCCGATTCCGTAAAAATTCCGTTCTGTGTCAACATGCCAGCATGAACAGGTTCAAGCAATTTTGTAAATGCATCTAACGATTTCTTAATATTTGGTAACCCACGAGACTCTGCTTCTTTAACCCAAGCATCAGAATAATTGTCACCCTCGAATCTGATATTCTTGGTTTTAATTATGTATTCTTTAATAACGGACATTTTGTCATCCTCGGTAAGAGATAATTTATCACCTTGTTGCTTCCTGAGTGCAGCAGTAATTTCCCGAATCGACGACGCAACAGCAGCATTCAATACGGTGACGGGAAAGGATGGTGATTGCTTGGATCCGACAGCTCTAAATTCAAACTTGTTTCCGGTAAATGCAAACGGTGATGTTCTATTTCTATCAGTCAGATCACGCGATATCTCTGGCATAGTAGATATCTTGACATCGAGCGTGGTACCTCCTACTTTGATATGCTCGACATGAGGAATGGATGAGCGAATGATCGGTCTGTTCTCAGCTATAGCATCAAGCACGTCTGTCAGATGAGTACCAAGAAATACAGAGATGATACCGGGTGGCGCTTCGTTTGCACCCAGTCGATGGTCATTTGAAGCTGATGCTATTCCGGCTCTGAGTAGATCTCCATGGATATAGACAGCATTTAATACAGCAACCAGGCAGAGGAGGAATTTTGTATTTGATTCTGGTGTAGCAGTTGGTTCGAGTAAGTTCTCTCCCAAATTAGTTGACATTGACCAATTGCAATGCTTCCCGCTTCCATTAACACCGTTGAATGGTTTTTCATGGAACAACACTTTCAGCTTGTGCCTATGTGCTACTTTACTCAAGACTTCCATAGTCAACAGATTGTGATCAACCGCCAAAGCAGCATCTTCAAAGATAGGTGCCATTTCAAACTGTGCTGGTGCGACTTCATTATGTCTAGTTTTTACTGGTACACCCAGTTTAAGCAATTCTAACTCGGCCTCGCTTATAGTTGCCATTGCGCGAGAAGGCATCCTACCAAAATAGTGATCTTCCATCTGTTGGTGTTTTGGAGGAACTGCACCGATCAGGGTACGACCAGTAATTTTTAGATCTGGTCGCAGAACATAGAGTCCTCTGTCGACCAAGAAGAATTCTTGTTCTATCCCTAGAGTGGTGTATACGTGGTTCACAGTTGAACTATCTAAGTGCAAGTATGGGGAGATCGAATATAAAAAGCTTTAGTGAATATCGGAGCTCTTGGCGTATAGTGAACAGTGAATATTGGTCATAAATCATATTGAGTCTATAAAGACATGGACCACGATTCAGCAACTATATATTTGCATGTACCAATAATTTGTCTATCTCATCCATGCCCATTCCTACCGTTTCCAATGACATTCAACAGTTCGACAGCCGCTTTTGACAGTGCCTCGGCTGATCTCAACAGTACGGTCTTCTCGTCTAACGCTTCTCCATTGTATGAGATGAAAATAGACGGAATGTATAAAATCATAGTTCCGTGTGGACCCGATTGTAAGAACATCGGACTAGTAGTGTCCCATACAGTATATCCTCTAGCCTCGAAAGTAGTTCTCATCCCTCCACTTGGAAACGATGATGCATCAGGTTCCGACTGTATCAACTGACTTCCCGAGAATGCATCCATTGGCACATGTTCTTCCCAACCATCACCCAACGTACTTTTCAAACTCAAAAAGGAATCATGCTTCTCAGCGGTCGATTCTGTTTGTGGTTGAAACCAGTGCGTAAAATGTGTTGCGCCTCTGTCCATTGCCCATACACGTACAGCATGTGCTACACTGTCAGCCGTGTTTTTATCCATAACTTGTCTACCACGCATTTGCTTGACAAACTGTTCATAGACAGGTTTCGGAAGCGCATTGGAGAGTGTGCGTAGTGAAAATACATTTTGCGCAAAAATTTCTGATGTGTAAACTTGTTTTCCGTCTCGAGTGGGGAATTGGACAACACGAGGTGGGTAATCATACGTCGAGAGGAGAGTTGTGTGGCGAAAATGATGAGACATGATAATGGTATTTTTCTTTCTTGAACGTATCGAAAGGGCCAGACTTATATAGTATTTAAATTGATAATACTACTGATTGTTCTCTTGTGTTATATGTGGCTGCTGTGAGTGCTCGCTTGTGGTTCGGTTTAAGTATGCGCGACTGGACGCACTGTTCTATTCTCGCATTGAGTGCCTCCTAATGGAGGAGCGGCTGAAGAATACATGCTTTGTAATAATCATATGTACAAGGGCTTTGAGACAAAACCTGATCTGTCAACATATTCGGATCGCCGCCACTCACAAAAATAGAACATTATCTGGTTGCATAATTCTCACGGTCACTAAATGGTGATCCACCCCGCAAATTTCATGTCCATTTACGGAAAGTTAGTGCAACGCAATCTGGACAAGCCTTTTTATTGTTCCCAAATCGAAATACCCCAAGTATGATCGGATAGAGTTGGTTACAACATTAATTCTCGGCGTTTGTCTTTTTCGCCCGAGCTTGAAACCTGCTTTTCTTGGTCACAGAGCGTGAGAATGCTAGTCAGGGCCCAGCAAAGCTCGATGCAGGGGTGATCTGTCGTCATCAGTATTACGTTATTATTTTGACAGATTAATGATGACGTCGGAATATTTGCACACGGTTTTAGTTTCCTTATCTAGACCGAAAACAAATACAATACTTATTGTTATAGACCTATAAATAGTTGTCAAATTTATTATGTTTCCTAATAAGGCTTGCTGGCTTAAACAGGAAGAGATGATAATTATGGACATCCAGATTTGGCAGTCACTGTAGAGGACAGTACAACAATCAGCAAAATCAGTAATAATTGTTGGTTAAAGTTTGAATCGTCTACTACAACCTTATTCCCTTTATCCATCAGGGACAGTAAACTAATGGGAGCACCTTCGGCACTTACGTTAAGTATGTCGGCTTCTACCACGTCATCAGTAACCATAGTGTCAGACGGAGAAGTTTTTCGTGGCTTTAAGAAAGTGGAAAGTCCTTTCTAGCGTGCTGTACCGTAAACATAGTTTTGAACATATCACATAGACCGGAAATATATATGTCCAACAATTTTATAAACTTGCTTCCAATAATACATACAGTATCTTGGTAGCAGGAAAATCTCTTGGCTGTGACTACAGTATGTTATGGAGAAAAGTTACTGAACTTAACGAAATGTTCTGGCCGTCAACCCGATTCAAGATAAAATCTGACCCATTATTTATTGACTGGCTGTCACTAGTCTATCGAAAATATAATCATACTACTACTACTACCCGGATAAAAATTATACTACCTAACTAAAAACAGCACCGTTCTGACCATCCTTTACACCAATAACTGGCGATGCATAAAGCTTCTAATTAATGTCCTTTTATTGAAGACAACGATTCTAATTATGACCGTGTTGTAGAACCGGATTAGTAATTCGTATTAATGTTAATGTGGACATGTGACTCTTCGGACTGGTTCATTGTTCTAGTATTTTTGGTTATTAATATTACAGTAAATAAGTATTCAAGACTAATCGAGCCCATTAAACGCCCGCAAGTCTTCTTTGTTTATACTACGTATCTTGTATATCTCAATTGACTCATTGCTCAAGCGAAAGATCTCCCCATTAATAATATCAAAAATTGGTAGCATGTGTATTTAATCGCTAGACATTGAATTCTCAAGTTGCCCGCCGATTTTCAATCTCGCACGTTCGACAACTTGGTTTGGATTACATCATTCACACTTGTTATGGAAAATGCTGTTACTGTCGAGCGCTTACCGAGTATATAACTTTATTTGTTTACTAATCAAAAATTTGATGGATAAGATGGTGTTTAACAATTAGACGCCCCTGAAATTTGTGATCAAAGTCAAGTCACATGAACATATTCAACTCATCTTTCATCAAAGACCTAATACTAACTTTTATCTCCTAACCTCGAATGTCTGCTCCAGCAACTTTTCAGATACCTCCAAAGTCAGTATCATCACCAACACAACCGTCACTCTTTTCCTTCGGATCACACCAAAATGCACGCAATGATCAAGAGTATCCTATATCTCCGTTAACTACTACTACCCCAACCTCACCACGCACAACACAATCAAACAGTCGGGGAAAAATGCATCAACGAAGCTATACCACTTCAAAATTTGAAGTCAAAGAAACAAATACTATGTGTAAGGACTATGACCCGGTTACGGGAAATAAGAGGGTTAATAAATATATGCTTATTAAGGAAGTTGGGAGGGGAGTGCACGGGAAAGTCAAGTTGGGAAGGGATATGGAAACCGGTGAGCTTGTTGTGAGTATTATATAATCGACAGTATATGTAATACTATATGTTTTATATTGTTACGTGTTTCTATGATCTGTCGCGATGGATATCGAATAGATCGTTGTTGCCCCAATATTCTGGTTAATTAATAATACTACTAAATATGGTGGTGTCATGGATAACACACTTATCCTCTAATATTCGTTCCGTTACCTGATACTTGACTATCTTTCGTTAGGCCATAAAAATAGTAGATCGTACATCACGAAAACGTCTTGGTCAACGTCATAACGAACTTTCAAACGAACAGAAAATACGGAAAGAAATAGCTATCCTGAAGAAATGTGCACATCCGCACGTCGTAAGACTGATTGAAGTCATTGACGACCCAATGAGTAAGAAGATATATATGGGTATGTATGTCGTAGCAAATCATTGAAAGTGGAGGATCGATGAAATTGAGCGATAGGCCAACAGGTAGATTGTGGCAACAAGAACAGTGGCTAGTATATAGATTAACTTACGTTAAGCGGCTGATTGTAAACGCGATTTATGGTTGCTGTTACTAGTATTGGAGTATATGGAAGGCGGAGAGATACGCTGGAAAGATGAGAATAATCGTCCTGTTCTGAGTACTGAAGAGGCAAGGAGAATATTCAGAGAAGTGGTACTTGGTCTTGAATACTGTGAGTAGACGTTCAAGTGCATTAATATCGTCACATTACGTCTCTTGCCCTTACTATGATTGCATCTTACAGTTTTTATTCCTTCTCGTTCACTTTGATTCATATTTGATTAGTACATCACCAAGGCATTATTCACCGTGACATTAAACCCGCGAATTTACTCTTGACTGTCGATGGTGTAGTGAAAATATCTGATTTTGGTGTATCATATTTCAGTCAGCGTGCCAACACAGCATCAATTGGAAGCGAGAAGGGAACAACAATACAAGATTCAGAACTGACCAAGACAGCCGGCAGTCCGGCTTTCTTTGCTCCTGAGCTGTGTTTTCCAGGTTTGTATATACAATGTATTATACCAAAGTAGGCGTTGTTCGAGGTTATTCAAAGTCTGTTATGTTTTGGTGGTTTAATTAATATAGGTGACATATCACTTGACCTATCTCAAAGTGGAGCAGCGTCTGCATTGTTTAGTAGTGAACATTCTAACGCTTCAAAACAGTCATCGAATACTTCATTAAGGCTTCAAAGACCACCCATCACGAAAGCTATTGATGTGTGGGCATTAGGGGTTACTTTATATTGCTTTATATTCGGACGATGTCCTTTCATTGCAGACACTGAATTCGAGTTGTTCTTCAACATTATACCAAAGAAACCCCTCGAATTCCCTGACGATGTTAAGATTACCGATGATCTTAAATATTTGTTAACGAGATTATTGGAAAAGGATGCTGCTAAACGAATCACACTGGAAGAGGTTAAGGTATGGGTAGAATGATGTTATGCAAAAAGCCTCGATATAATTGGCTTTTTTACATTTTCGATGTTCTGTTCAGAGGCTTCCTTGGGTTACGAGTGGTTTGCCAAATCCTGGGAAGTGGCGGGAAGAAACTGATCCTAAGAAATATCAGGCCGTGACAGTAACAGACGAAGAAGTCAAGAGTGCATATACTCTTATTGTAAGTCAAATTTGTGCCAATACTTTATGTTGGATACTATCTTCTTCTTTCTCTTCAATACGCAAACTAGTATAATGTATTACATAATTCATTCATAGGGTCGATTAAAGAAGAAATTTCGCCAAATATCTGTCTCACTGGGACATTTGACGCTGGGAAACCTCCGTAGGAGGTCTAAATCCGTCTCGGAAGCATCGATAGCGCCAATAGGTAACCCAGCGTATACCAACTAATCGAGAATCATGGCCAATTTTAACTAGTATTTTTCCTATAAAGACAACTCGTCATACTCTGCAAGCTCAGTGCCGACACAGACCTCCGAGCCAATTTCCATTCGCCCATCGTATACTTCTAACGATATTCTTGAAGTTAATCAGCATCGACATGAAAGTATCTATGGATCGAGCTTTCCTGAGACATATGCCTGGCGACGATCACGGGAAGTCGAAAACTATGAGAAGTATATCGTACACGATGATACTCGCTCAGTCTCCTCCTCATCTTCTCTCTCTGTTGCAACGTCTGCGACTTCTGATCGGGTTGATCTCCATCATTCAGTCTCTGCTCGGCATTTAGGCATCGGACGACAGAATAATCGTTCACATAGTGGTCTGAAACGGACTTGGACATATGGTGGAAAAACCAACAGCTTTGGGGAAAGGACTGTGCAGAATAAGGATAGTCTGAATGAGACTGGACAGATGGACAATACGGATGAAAGAATTGGTAGTAACAATGAAGAGGATAGAAATGAATCTGATAAAATCAGTCAAAAAGCGGAGTAATCGCTCTTAGAAATGGTGGTGAAAATAATGACAATGGAATTGTGATTGGTATTGCTGCTCGTGATTGCCAAAAAAATGAAGGTGATAGTTATGATAAAATATTAAAAATAGTGTGATTCTGACTATAAGTAAATTAGTGGATATAATAATTAATAATAATTAAATGATTCCCAAAATGTAGACGATGATTAAGTGTGGTAAGTATTATAATTACCGTGACATATACATGAAGGAGGTTGGAGCAGGCATGGACTTGTCCAGTACCGCAGATTGTTCAAAATGAGTTTTCTTTTTTTTTTAGACCGATCCTACACGCTTTCTGCAATAAAGAGAGATATTGTTTATTTCGACAATTATCATATTAATATGTTCATTGAGGTAACACGAAAAGCCAATTGAAGTCATAATAACTACTCGTCATCTGATGGGGTTTTAAGTACGCTCTCTGCGAACTAATAAACTCTGTCTGATTCATTGTAACAGCTCGATTTAATTGTAGTATTGCCACGAGGAAATTCGTTCTTAGCACCTTGATGGTGTTCATGTGCGTGAACGAAAGTTTTGGCATAACAAAATATATAGAAGTTTTATTAATATAAAAACAATTTAGTCTTTCACCATCGTGTTTTATTATCGTTTCTCAAGTCTGATACAGTCAAGTTATTTGGAATTCCAAAAGGTATTCAAGTCTGGGCTATCGGAAAGTCCGTTCTACAATTTTAATACTCGAGCAACACCACATGCATCTTACGCAAATACCAGTCGCACCCATCCCCTCTACATGCACAGTTGCAATACAGTCACACGTTATTACGGAACCGATCAATTACACTTGTGTTGAAAAGGACATACTCCCTTACAGCCACACCCTCTTTACAGTCATCAGAGTATCGGCATAAAAATCAGTACTCACAATTCCAAAACAAATAGAAACTTTCCTCATATAAAAATGCTCCTGATGCAAACAATCGTTAGGACTGACCGTTCACCCCTTATATAGTTGAGTTAATGTGTTCCGGATAATTGAAGCGTCTTTAGTCATTGAAGCCCAACTAACATATTGTTGTTTAACAGTGTTGTAAATGCGCAGTCCGCGAGATGAAGTAGGGTAAATAAATAAATAAATAAATAATGGATAAATAAATACAGTCAAAGCTCGTTATGATAGAATTACTTGTGTCATGGAGATACCCGGAACACATTCAGACATATATTTTCTTCTCTTCTTTTTACACGGCATGTAAGAAGGTTTGGTAAGTATAGAGGTGAGTATTGCATTGCTGTACAATATACTGTATATTGACTCTTTTTTTTCTTTTTTCTCCCTTGACCGCGTAGTTACTTGTGAGAGTTGAATACGGTATGCCAATTTAGATACAATAGCAGTTATTGTTGTTTTATTCAAATGTAGCATATGCATTGTATTTTGATTTATTGACAATGATGAGATAATAATAAAAAGCACCCCCCCCCCATCAACATTCTAATTCTACAAATTGAACTGGTTTGCATTTGTTGCATGACAATAACAAATAATTTTTTCGATTCTGAAACACTCCCATTTCAAAGTAAGAGTGTCAACGTGTCCGATTTTTGAACGAGGTTTACTAGCGATAATCAATCACGCCGTTCACTATTTGTGGGCTGGGCAATGTGATGTAGATTGCGATATTTTACAGGCTTGTTCTAACTCGACAATTCAGCGGCTCTTCGACGACTTATCACGCTCGACCGACTTATCGTGAATCAAGTCGTTTATTATGTTTAATCTTATTATCAATCGCAACACCAACGTTAACGAATATATGGCTAGAAACATCGCGCAGCTAAACCTCCTAAATCGGGACGGAAATCCGACGTTCGCCGTACCTACTACTACGTAATTGTCACCGCATCGGGAAACTTTAGCCGACAGCGGTAATGTTAGAACGTTGTATAGGTAAAGCAGCTTTAAAATCGCTAGCAAGCATCATCCCTTTCAATTAAGCAGATCTTATAATCACAACCAATACTCTAACAAAGGATCAGATACTCGTCCTTCAACTTGGCTTGCGTTATGCACTGAATAGGCTATTGTAGTTGGTATTGGGTGAATAAATTTTATGTGTGACACAAAATTTGTGTGTTCTGGTGATCTTGTAAATACAATTCTTTAGATCTAGCCCTGCGGCGATTGCACGAGGATCACCGATCAATTAAGTTACTATTATTTTTATTATCATTGGCTACTTTTATGTCTATACAAATGCTTCCATTTTAATACAAGATGTAGCGAATCTTATCATTATGTGAGAAATCAATACATACTAATACAAAAACTAAAACATTACACACATTAAAATACTATCACACTTTTGTAATTAAACCAATTAATTGTCTTTTATGATATTCATTCAGTATACCCCGCTTACACTGTTCGGATTGCTATCACTTGAGATCATGCTACTCGTACTTCCTTGAGCACTAATAGACCCTCTTGAAGGAACAGTTACAAGGCCCGACATAATTATCATGGGATCGGTGGACTGCAGTTCGTTTTTGATGAGATTTCGTGCTAGACCATCAAGCTCTTTCGTTATTGACGAGATTATTTTCTGACGATAAACAATATCATGTAAAATAGATTTCAAGTGACAAGAGTGAGATCAAGAGAATTACAAGATAGAAAGATGACAGAGCAAAAAAGAAAAAAACAAAGTCGCACGCTCCAAACCTTGAATTTTCCATCGATCTTCAAGACACTATCTGTAAAAGGTTGAATCCAGATATCACTAGTTCCTGTTAACAATTTATTATAAACCTCTACTAACATATCGCAAAGTGTATAGAATGCCTGAAAATAGTCCAAATCAAATGACTAGAAAAGTTGAAATAAATAAATTCAAGTTTAGCGAAAATAATCAACAGCTATCTCGTAACTCAAAAGGTTAAGATAATATCTTACAATGTTTGGCACATATAGATAAGTAAATTCTCCACTCTCTTGGAAAGAAGTATCATCATCCTGTTTGACTTTAGATTTTCTGAAGAACATTTTCTAAACCGAATTAAAATACTTGTCAGTTGTCATCAGAAGTTAATTATATCGTTGTTTGTTATGTTATGCTCATTTACCCACCATCTTTGCCTTTGAATGTTCGTTTGAATAGTATTCAAACTCTTGTAATAGAGTATTGAGCGCTTTTACATAGTCCTGTGGGTTAGTAATGTCAAGTATTGGTGCTAACGAAACACCAAGAATGAAGAAGTTATGTGTCCGTTTCTTCATCTTTGCATTATCATATTGGCTTGCCAAGTCCTTCTTAGTCAAACATATTGTACTAAACCAATGAATCTTTCCTTCGTGCGCCTTCTTCAAATAATTAAACGTGGTCAGACGTTTCTGAACTAGCTCACAGAAGTTTTCGTAAGAGGAGGCTGAGGCGGCCGCTAGTATCTCCAGGGTTGTGCTGGTTACGAGAGAAGGCGGTCGCGGAGCCGGTGTTGGAAATGGAGCCGGAGGCAAGATGGAACCTGACGAGACATTCGACATGGATGAATTTGCTGGTGACGGAACCGTTTTGTTGGGATCCTTTGGAGGCATAAATATAAACTTTAATTAACCAAACTGGCACTATGAGGATTTTGCGTTCTTTATTAAGCACGGCTAAGGTGCTTGCTTAGTATGAGGACCGTTGATTTTGTGTGTCCCTTTATTAAGCACCGTATCAATGATTCATACCAAGTAACCGAGAAAATTAAGGTACAGTTGTTATCACGTGATATATAATGACTATAATGACGCATGCCGATATACAGTAACGTGCAAAAGTATCCTACCGGTTGTATCATCTAAACGTACATAATAATAACTCCTTAAATTTTCCA